GTTGGGTTAAATGTTTAACCCAACCTTCTGGGTAGTAACCCAACAGCTGGGTCAAAACAACCCAATTGCTGGGTTTGTCCCTATTTTACCCAGCACTGGGTTGTATTTAACCCAGCATTTTTTAGAGTGTAATGTGTAAAACTTTGAAAATTAGTAACAAACTAAGGAATGCACATTTAAAAGCCCAGGATTTCTGACATGTAACTACTAACTTAAAATGCTGCATGTTTCTTTTCACATAAGGAGCAAATGAGCAACTTGGAATCATTTGTGACCCAACAACTGAGTACACTCTAAAAAATGCTGGGTTAAATACAACCCAGTGCTGGGTAAAATAGGGACAAACCCAACAATTGGGCTGTTTTGACCCAGCGGTTGGGTTAAATGTTTAACCTAACCTTCTGGGTAGTAACCCAACCGCTGGGTCAAAACAACCCAATTTGCTAGGTTTGTCCCTATTTTACCCAGCACTGGGTTGTATTTAACCCAGCATTTTTTAGAGTGTAATTTCCCAAAATATATTTTCTGAACAAAATGTATTGTTACATGCCAACATCCAAACATCTCAATCCTTTTTCTATTTAATGTTGTATTTAATACAAAATGCTAAATTGCAGATTAGATTTCAGTGTGCTCTCAGACTTTTGGGCACCACTGTATCTGTTTATAATAGAAAGCGTTATTACATGTTCAGTCATTCAAAATCATCAAACACACTCATTGGCTGATAGTCAGGAGTTTAGGATTCACTTCAATCCACTCTTCATTTGGTCCTTCATTATAAAACAATGAAATGAATCTCAACAGAATTGGTAGAGAAATGAGACTGAGAGTGGCTATAAAAAGTCAGTCAGAAACCAGACTCACTGAACACACATGGCAGAATCACATCTGCTCTATGTCAAACATGCTGAATTAGATACAATGGCTCTGTTCAGAATAGCATACTAACATAATATTATCTTCTGTGTAATGTATTGTGTGCACAGATGCTGAAATATCCCACAATGCAATGTGACTTGGCTTTCCATTTCCAAAGAACTTGGAAGTTTTTATCAATTGTTTAATCAAATTTCCATACATTAAAAGTACACAGCATTGAATTAATACAAAATAAACTTTATTTTCAAGATTATAACTGGATGCTGCTCATTAAATTAAACATGCAATGTAGTGGTTGTGTGACAAAAGTCTACAATACCACAGTATGCATTACAGCATAACACTACTACTACTACTGTTTCACTATATTCTAAAACAGTATGCAGTTTTCAGTGAGCAGTCATATTACAGTAAGTTAGTACTCCATTCTGAACACAGCCAATGATTGCAATACATCACAGTTGTAGAATGTTACATTCCATTTCCCCTGTAGCTGATGTCATCTAATATAATCTGTTAGTAATTAACATACATAATTCTGGATACATATAAATCTGTGTGTACATATACACACTGTACATACATCATATTGAGCCTACTCTCGGTTTCATCAAGTCTTAAACAGAGCTGATGGAGGGATGAATGGGTGGACGGATGACCGGAGGTCTATAGGTTACTGAAGAGTTCATTTTTCTTGTTCCAGTCCATGGGTGGAGCTCTCTTGTTGGAGCGTTTCTGGTGCGCACGCTCTTTCACCTGCTGGAGGGACAGATTGAGCTCTGGGATGGCATCTGTGATGGATGGCTCCACAGCCTGAGAGGAGGAGAAACAAACATAAA